AAGCAAGGATGTCAAGGAACCAAGGCATGTCTTTGACAAGGTTTTTCAGATCATAGAATGAAAACTAATTCCATTATCTGTATACTATATTTCCTTTTACTCAAAACCAGTTTATGTGGTCACCATGATCATATGCATACTTCAAATCGAAGTTGAAAGCTCAGATTAATAGATGGCTAAACAACAGAAAAGATTTTCCATCACTTAACCGGCAAGCAATAATCCAGTCAAAAGTTGTCCACTCAGGACAAATGGCAACAAAATCATCTCCATTGTTACCGACAGAGTCCACTATACTGTAAAATTTAATCAACTTAGTACTTAAACGAGGACTGGACTGGTAAGCCATATGGAATCCCTGCTCGAGAAAAGAAAATAAGTCACTTGTTATCAGATAAGCTGACAAGAGGCACAACAAAACCACCATGAACATAATAATTAGCATGTTCAAACATAACATCAAAGCATGCAAGAATTACCAAGAGCAGTTCATAACCCCTTGGTCTCCTTCCACTTCATAAGATTTTATAAATGGGTACGGTAACCCCTTCCACTTCATAAGATTCCATAAATGGATTTATAAACATAATATTGTAAATCCATTTATAAGGTTTCATAAACAAGACTAGTACAGCATATAGATATGATTTGGAGAAAAGAATATGGTTATCGCAAATATTATACACGCTATTATATATGGTAATAAGACTTGTACAAACCCCTATAAACTTGGCTCAATTTTGAAAGAAAAGAAAAGGTTTTCCTTCAAACACATAACAGTGACACTTCAAAGTGAAGCAAAAGGAAAGAAGGATTAGCCGAGAAAAGAATCCATGAAAGCTATAGTCGTGGGGGGGATTAAGGAAACTTTAGATGCTTACCATGTCACTGGCATTTCTCTTGTGATGTTGAGTTAGTGGAATTTAGTATACAACACACCTGCAAAAAGATGGAACACATCAAAAACAGTTCAATAATATACTGATTGATATACAATCACACAAAACAGCTCAATGATAATTCATTCCTAAAACAGTTTTCCACTCTTTCAATTCTTCAACTAACCAAGCCTCCTGATTGATATCTAAACAAGGGCAGTTCAATGACATCCAATACTAAAAACAGTGTCCACATTATATAAGAAGGATTTCTACTCGTGAAATTACCAATCATGATAGCGAAAAAGAGATCTGGCTTTTAAATTTGAAAATCACACAATTGTTACCATCATCCACAGTCTGAATCGACCAACTTGGCCTTTCGATTCAGAGAATCAACGCCGCCTTTCACCTCAGAAACGTCGCCGATTACATCTATACTATCCGATTTCTCATCGACGGCTTCCATAACCTCGTTTAGCCAACCCAATTTTGACGAGATTTGGCAGGGCAAAGGAAGTTTTTGTGAGGCATAACATATTTGGACGAGCCTTGATAGAGATAGAGAAATTAGGCTTGCCGGAGCACCGCGAACTGGGTCGAGCACGGCCAAACTCGGTGGAGCACGAACCTCATTCGATTACGGAATATCTCGATCAAGTGTTTCCATGTCCATGAAGAAATTGAAAAAAAACAAAAAAAATTCTTGATCGTATACAAAAAACTAAGGGTAGTTTGGTCACTTTCTAACCATAAAATCTA